CAAGTATTCGCGGTGTTGTGTGCTAACCGACTGTTGCCACAAGAGACTACTGCTTATCTGTCGGCCTTTGGCCCTCAGCCTATCGCCAGCTTATTGGAATCTTTGACGGGGCAAGTAAGCAATCAACCCCTGACCAAATTGATGCAGCAAGCCGATCAGGCGAGCGTGTCACGGGACTTAAAGCGTAATGGCCTAGGTACCACTATTGAGGAATATGTACTCGGCGTCATTCGCCGCTTTGTGCATTCGGGTCATTGGCTGGTCAATAAGCCAAATGCAAAGGTTTGGCATTTAAAACAAGGGGTATTTCTGGATTGGGGGCGTGGATTTCCAGATTTACTAGCGCTGATTCGGCAGGATCAAGTGCCGGGTGTGCCGCAGGAATTAGATAGGCTCGCTGATTTTTTAATTGAGCGTGGCGTCGCTCAGCCATCAACTATTAAAGACACTCAAAGCAATGCCTCTATAAGCCGCTCAACTCGCTATTGGCGCGTGCGTTTACCCATTAAACAAGCAGGCGACTCACCCACTAAGCCGTGGTTACTGCGTTTAACGGCACCAGAGTGGATTTTTATTACCGGAGCACCTGCCCAACTAGACGGCCAAGTATTAGAGGAAGAAATAGAAGAGCAGGAAATAGATGGCCAGCAGAATAAAAAAGATGTTGTACAGAAAGCTTCTGAAATAGCAGCACTCTTTGCCCAGTCAGCAGAAGCGTCAAAAGCACATGAGCATGAAGTACATATTCCTACCATCGATGCACTGCTCAACAGTTATGGAGCCGCAGCTCCTTTACTTCGATTAGCACTTGATCCTGTACTAGCAGGCCATCAGCCATTAGGTCACATCATTAATCAGCTAGAGGGACATATAGTGATGTTATATCCCGAAGGTGCACGACAGTTAGGAGAACCGGCTCAAATTGTGACGACTCTTTTTGAGGCAGGTGCCATTGAGCCTGATCTGATGAGTCCAGATCGTAAGGTACGTGTTATCCAAGGAAAGAAGGTTTTAGTTTTTACGGATGCTTTATCAAAGGCCATGGCCTGCGCTCTCAACATTGCTCAAGCAAATACTGCACGGCCAAGTATCGCTTTTTTATCAGAGGTTGCATCTACTAACCGTCAAAAAACCACGCAAACAGGGTTTTCACCTTCGTCGATCTCTACCACGACGGATCCCCTAGCCAATGCCTATTTGCCTATATTGTCGCCGTCTACTACCGCGCAAACGCCTGCTCCAGCGTCTTCTCAACCTACTCCAGAGCAGGCTATTCAAGAGCTAATCGAAATGATTCGCATAGGCAAAGGCCGTTGGCTCATAGCGCCTGTCATACAAGAAAATGGCCAATCCATAACGGACGCAGGTTGCTTGGAGCAGCTAGCCAAAGCACATCCGGATTTTAGCTTACCGCTACTCCGTCTAACGCTACGTAACTTAGAGACAGATCGTCTGCGCTTAGAAGGGGGAAAACTGATTTTACACATGCGCTCTAATGCTTAAATTATTTGATCCAACCGCCTATGACATAGCTTTTCGGCCGAATTATGAAGCGCAGGCGCTCGCAGGTTGGGTATTCGCCGCGCTCGCAGCAGGGATTTTTCAAGCGAACAGTACTTTACCAATTGGCCCTTTTTATTGGATGGTCGGGCTGTGCAGTGTAATGGCGCTGCGTTGGTTACCCCGTGCGGTGCGCATAGCCCGACTGCAACGCAGCCTGCAGGGGCGCTCAGTTCCACAGATCACGTTGACAGAACTTCAGCATGAACAGGGCCAATGCCCCGATCATCTCTGGCTAGGATATGGCTTTGCTTGGGAGCACCGACATACACAGCGGGTCTTTGAAATCTTAAAGCGCGATACATCGCGCATCGTTAAACAGAAAATCATAGCGGCGCTCGGTCAACCTTGGATTCATGGGGTAGAAAGCCGTGAAGCAAAGCAGTACCAGCTTTTATCGCATACAGAAGGACACACCCTCATTTTAGGTACCACGGGCGCAGGTAAAACGCGTTTATTTGATTTACTTATCGCCCAAGCTATTTTGAGGGGTGAGGCGGTCATTATTGTAGACCCGAAAGGTGATCATGCTTTGTGTGATAACGCAAAACGGGTTTGTGAAGCGATGGGGCAGCCTGAACGTTTTGTGTATTTTCATCCGGCCTTTCCTGAGCGCAGTGTTCGCCTCGATCCATTGCGCCACTTTGGGCAAGTCAGTGAAATTGCCAGTCGTTTAGCGGCGCTCATCCCTTCTGAAACAGGTTCCGATCCGTTTAAATCATTTGGCTGGCAGGCACTCAATAATATCGCCCAAGGGCTGATGTTGGTATCGACTCGCCCTAATTTGGTACGCTTGCGTCGCTTTCTGGAAGGTGGCGCAGCAAGTTTAGTGGAGCAAGCTGTCATCGCCTATTGCGAGAAAGTATGCCCAGATTGGCAAGCAAAAGCGAAGTCATGGCTCGAACGCACAAGGCGTGGCAGTGATGATAAAGCGATGGCTTTAGCAAATTTTTACTACGACAAGGTTCAGCCCCTGCACCCTAATCCTGATTTAGAAGGATTGCTATCCATGTTCAAGCACGATGGCACCCACTTCTCCAAGATGGTGGCCTCTTTGCTGCCCATCATGAATATGCTGACTTCGGGTGAATTGGGGCCATTGCTTTCGCCTGACCCAAACGACCCTGAAGATCTCCGACCGATCACAGATACCGCCAAAATTGCCCGAAACGGCCAGGTTGCCTATATTGGACTGAACATTTTGAGCAATC